CGCGCCGCAGGCCGAGCCCGACTCGTATTCGATAAAACCGATTCTCCATCGAAAGCGCTGGGCCCCTACATGCACAGAATCAATATGTTAGAGAGACAAAGCTAGTCCTCTAGATCGGTAAAGTCGGGTCCCTAGATAGATAATGTCGTCCCATATTAAACAAAGCCCGTCCACTAATTCAACAGCACTGGGTATCTAAATTGACAGAGTCAATATGTTGGAGACACTAAGCCAGTCCTCTAGATCGGCAGAGCCGAACACGGGTATAGATGATGTCGGTCCCATATTCAATGAAGGATATACAGCACTGAACCCCTAAACTGACTGAGCCAATATGTTAGAGATAGAGTCAGGCCAGTAGAGCGACAAAGTCGGGCCCCTATATAGGTAATGTCAGTTCCTTATTCACCAAAGCCAGTCCTCTAAGTCGACAGCGCTGGACCTCTAAATTCACAGAGTCAATTATGCTGGAAATTAAGTCCCAGTGCTCTAGATGGACAGTGGTGGGACTCATAGTCAGTATCCTAGATAGACAGTGGACAGAGTCAGTGCTTTAGATAAACAGAATCAGTTTCTTGGCTCACCAAAGTATATTTTATGCAGTATGTCAGTGGTGAAACAGCCGCGCTGACGAGCAAGCAAAGCGAGACTGCATATACAGCGCAACGTATGCTGACGCGTCAGAGTAGAGTTGTCGTCAACCAAAGCTACCACCAAAGGCACCACCTGCTCTAGCAACGGTTCCAAGGATTCCTTTGTAGGGAAAAGATTCACTTCCTGAAATACAAAGTATAAATAATTTAACTGGCGTATTGCACGGATTTTTCAACATGCCATCCCACAGCGTACTGACGTCACGCCTATTCGTAGATGGATCTTATTACCTTGTCGTTCTTATCACCGTCCCCACCACAATCGATCATTTTCATTTTCTGTTCGCTATCGGGGTTGTCTTGCAGCGCTGCGCAGAGGCAGGCCACGGCCGCGGTGCGAATCGCTTCGGCAGTGCGGCCCGGGGACCAGATCAGGTTCGGCATTATTACTTCTGCAAAATTGGTTTGTTTACTTGAGCAGTCATCATTCCTACACCTAGTTGAAAAAATGTTCCGTGATTCTAATTATTACACCCGACCTCATCGAAACCAAATTCGAGAAAGCATGTTCCTGCCCTTTACCACATCGAAGCTAAACTAGACATTTTCTTTTTTTTTTAATGGGATTTATGGAAGGTGGTCATCGTCGCCCATGGATATCTACAACACCAAAAAAAACGACCTATGCGACGTCAGCCTTCCAGAGCCCTCTTGACTCGCTTTTTGATGAAACCCATGTCATAATCAAAGGAAATACTTCAGGTGGAAGACCATTGCACATCTTACAGTTTAGAGGAAGGGACGAACGTGACGCTGGCGTGGTGTTACAATGCCAATAGAACTAGTACGACAGGGCGCGTCTTGCGCGAGAGTGACGTAAAGCGCGCGATACTGCTCGATATGCTCGCGGGAGAGATCTCGCGTTTTATGTCACCCTGGCATCAATGATGTCGGAATGTTCTTAGCTTTTATCTCTTCGAAACTAAACATGAGACATGTTACTGTGCTTTACCTATATCGAAGCTAAAAGCATACAACTGACATGATACTTAAAATACTCGCTTTTATTTTAATAAATAGCCTTTGTTTAAGTAAATACATTAAATGAATGTAAAAATAATACCAAATAAATGTTTATTTGTGAGAAATGAGAGAAAAAACATTTTTTTTTTCAAAATTTTATAATTAATTTTTTAAATGGTGCAAAGGTTACTTTATTACGCTACAGCTACAGGTATATCGAAGATTTCGATAATTTAATTAATAAATATGTAATACTGGTATTTATTCTTAAAGTATGAATTTTAATCATAGATAAGGAATTAACATGTCAGGGTTATTAATTTTTGAAACTTATAATTAATGATATGACAAAAGTTTTTTGAAATTTTCTACAATATCTATATTTATATTGCATTTGAATTATAATTGTGTGTTTTGTTTCTGAACGATGTCATTTATACATTGTACATACGTCAGAAAAATAAACCTATAAGAGAGAACTTTCGCTTCAAAAATCACATACACTAACAATCTATCGACTTTACCTCATCTCTATGACAAGCGTCAAATGAAGTGTCACAGGGATCATCCTAGTTTGCGTCTAGTATAGTTGTTCACTACTATCTGAGCAAAACAAAGCTAAAGTATCCCCGTATGCAAAGCATGAAATATGTATTAAGCTAAAGTGTCCCCTTATGCAAAGCGTGAAATGTGAATTAAGCTAAAGTGTCCCGTTATGCAAAGCATGAAATATGAATTAAGCTAAAGTATCCCCTCACGCAAAGCATGAAACATGAATTAATCTAAATTGTCCCCTTATGCATAGCAGATATGAATTACGCTAAAGGGTCCCCTTATGCAAAACATGAAATATGAATTACCGCAACAAACAATTATTGGACTTTTGGGTAATGTTGGCCAACTTGCGCCAGTCAAGAGGACAGCACAAAAAAAAGTCGAGGTATTTTACAGACATACTACCTTCAATAACAATCTTCAAAAACGCCTCCAACTTATCAGTATCGCACTTCGAAAAATTGCTTCGCCGTTCAGCAAGTACAGTAGACAGTACTGTGAAGATCTTCAGCTTGACCTCAGGGTCCACTTTAGGGGTGCCCAAGCATTCTTTGAGGAGTGGTGCAATAAGGTGCAATTGAGCTCCCATTGCGTATCCTAGAATAAATCATTGAAGGAGTATTAACTTACTGTGAAAGAAAAAATAGAGAGATTGTAACACATTATTTGATTGTAATTCGGGAGTTAATCATGTATAAAAACATATATTTATTACCTCGACGTTACGCACGCATTTCAACGTCCACGGTCTCGAAGAGACTGAAGAGGCAGGTGTCAACATCTTCTAGCTGTGCGAGTTTTTCTATCCACCCGCTTGGTGTTCATTATTTATTTGTGCACAAAGGTTCTTACGGTGACCCTTCGAGACCGTGAACGTTGCAATATGTCCGAAACGTAGAGGCAAATAAAATGCTTTATACAAAATTAAGTCCCGAATATAAAATCAAATAATGAGATAGAGAGAGCAAGACAGAAGAAATATAGTTCATAATCAAAGGCATTAAAAATAAGAACAGCTAATTTGATTTGGCGCTTGAAGTTAGACAGTCACCACACTTATCGACAGGGACTCGCATTAAACCAACCAGGAAAAGCTTTATGTCCATGAACATAAGAGCGAAAACGACATTGTGTGTTTCGCATCGATTCATACGACACGGGTCGACGAATTTCTGGCGAATTTAAGATTACGTGCGTACGCATCTGGGTGTCTATGTGACGAAGGGCCACGAGGACGCCCAAACGGTTGCATCAATGGTTGCATCGCCCAAATAACCGCGTCGACGCCCGAACGACTTCGAAGCTGCAAAGACCACATTTCGTACCCCTCGATCCGAGACAATAGCTGAACAGCGGTGCCGAAGCCCGTACGGCCGCGTCAAAACGACCACGTCTACGCTCGAACGGCTGCGACGACAACCGAACGGCCACGTCAACGGTGAATCGGCATAATGCGATAAGCCGATTCCGCGTCGATAAGTTTGGTGACTCCCTTACCAAAATAATATCAAACCAGTCAATTGAGGTATTTACGCGTAACAACAAAAATTACGGAGTTCAACGTTGTGTGTGCAAATTACTAACGCGATCCCAGTTTTCCCAACCCCTGATATTTTACGTAAGTGCAGTTCACCTGAATGTAACAGCACACACTCAAGCAGACATAGGTCCGGGGTGAGCAATGTCCAGGTGAGAGCATCGCTGGTAATATCAGCTAATATGCGCCGAATGTATTTCTCATACAGACTGGTGGTAGACTTCCCCGTCTTTTCATGGTAACGTAGCTTATCCAGATTCGCTGAAATCATGGAATAAACTACTTTCAGATGAATAATTGGCATGGCATATTTTGGTTTTGAAAGCAAAAGGATTTGGGCGAAAGGACCATCATCATCTTTTTAACCTAAAGACGTCTACTGCTGGACGTATTCCTAACCCAAAGATCACCATGATTAACGGTTTTGCGCTCCTCGAATCCAGCGGATTTGCGCAACCTTGACCAGGTCGAAACTAGTAGGAACAAAAGCAAGAAAAAGGTACAAATTTCACTAGTCTTATTTATATATAAGTAACGTTACACTTAGTAGCAATGTCACACGATGTTAAGCGTGATATGCAAGACGGAAGTATGCCTTTGTCTTGTATGATTGAATGATTCTTAAGATATCTTTATTTAGTTGAATTTGTGTGCATTGCCCTAATAAAAATAACGTATGAATTCATGGAAGAGGTCACACCAGGAGACGAGGCCAGGTAGAACCGGTCACAAACTTGTGAAAGAGCTCGTCAAGGTTTTATAATAAAATATATTATTTTCTTAAAAGACCGCCGGTTCACTTGAAATCGAAATACCAAATTGCATTAGATAATTATTGCAGTAATTAATTTAAAATATCAGTTTCCAATAAATATAAGACCAAAAGGGCTCGTGAAAATAAGTTCGTACCTACAACCTAAGGCTATGAATTACCATGGGCGGAGGCTAAATAAATATGTAGTATCTCGTATATATAATATATGGGGTTAAGAAAAAGTGAGAAAAAGTCTTACAATTAGTAAGCAAATTATAAAAGTTAAAATAAAAAAGGCGCTACTGAATCAAATTCTGATTTGAGAACTGCATTTCTTATATATTATTGTAATTGTTATTGTTGTTTTGTTAAATAAGTAAGTTTGACCTACATGAGAAGTACCTTCTCACTGCTAGTTATAAGTATAACTTTCATTGTGTAAGAGCGTGCTTGCCAACAAACTGTTTCCAGTTTGGCGGGAGATTGACTTGTGTACTGACTGTTGTGTGACTTGTGCTAAGCAATAGGTACTGTGAACATTGCAGCGTTCCTTTTAAAGACTAAAAGTTAAAGGGTAAGGGTGCGTACAGATCTGGCGAATGCGCCGCGAACGCACGCGCATTGAACACGTGCTGCATTACCTATTTCTACCGCCAAGCAGTAATGTGAGCATTACTGTGTTTCGGTTTGGAAGACTTGTCGACTTAGGTCTTAGGGCGACAGCGACAGTGGCAGTGTCCCTCAAAACTTTGCGATTTAAAGCTTGAGTGGTATTGGGGGTGATTCACGTAATCAAACCGTTACGATATCGTAGCGATTTAGTCGTTGAACTGCTTTTTCGTATTCGACTGTGACAGTGAACGTCAACGAGTCCAATTTTAAAGTCGTTCGATCCAAATGTCGTTAAAGTATATTCTGGTATATGTATCGAACTTAAATCGACTCTAAACGACGAGTCGAGTACGTATTCTGCTAAAATTTTGATAGTTCTTTCAATAGACTTTCGACGACTAAATGTCAAATTTCACAATCCAAGATTTCGTTCATTAGTCGTTACATTTCGATTCTACTCATATCAACGTTCGTTCAAGTGATACGTGAATACCCATTTTGGACAGGACTTCCATCTAACAACTACGTAACTTCAACGATATTTTGATAGCTTGAACTTACGTGAATCGCAACTACAGCAATAGCTATGGACAGGCGTGTCGCTTTGCACCAGGCGCACGACTTGTTCGCCCTGTCACTTGGTGTAATAATAATAACAATAGATCGCACTACGTAATGCACGTGTAAAGCTCGCAAGCCTTTCGCAAACAGGCGTATTTGCGGCGCATTCGCCAGATCTGTACGCACCCTAAAGGCGATGAAATTACAGGGACATAGGACTTGCCAACTTTATGTCTCAGGGTGACGGACGCAGTGGCAGTGCTTGGTGTGTAGCTGAGTTATGGATAGGCGTGGTTACTTGCCACCAGGTCCACTACTTGTTCATCTCGTCATTTGATATCATACAAATGTTAATTACTTGTACAGTTCAGAGCACACAAGCTCGACACTTGGACCGTTCTTAACATAAACGACATACAGAATTTAAAGTTTCAAGCTTGACATACTCTTGACCTTGATCCTATACTATGGTACCACAGTAAGGATGTTTATAAGGCCTCGTCTTAGTGTGAATACCTCGTTATTTCTATGTAATTTTTCAGTACGAAGATGAAATGTGGTGTAAAATGTTGTAAACGCAATAAAATTTTGTAGTTTAGCCTTTTAATTAGTTAAATTATACTTCTTTCAGATACTATATTATTTTAATAATATTTTTGAGCAAGTAGTTTATAAGTTTTTCTTTAACAAAAATCTATGTGAAAACGCGTATGGGAGGTTTTCACTCTAAGGCGATAATAACTATCAGAGCACCCAGACCAGCTAAAAAATCATTCTTCGGGGTAACGAGACTATTATTCACAGTCTAGATAAAAAGTACTTACAGTAAGCATAAAATTGTATTTTTTCGTCAACAGGCATGGCGTAAACGGTGAAACAGATGATGAACATCTCCTCTGCGACCGGTTGTATGCCCTCGCGGCATAGGTCTAACAATGCTTCCGCCACTTCCATCATGTGCCTTTGATATTTTGCCTACAAAAAAAATAGTTAATTTTTTATTTAATTAATAAGTATTAGACAACATTACATACGTTGCTTAGATCCTAAAGTAAGTAAATAAAGCAATTGTGTTATGGAAATTGGAAACAACGACGGTACCACAACCACCAGTGACCACGTTTGGTTTGTTTGAAAAAACAAATACTTATACGCGATTTAGAACCGAAAAACTAGTTTCATTTCCTGTAATAAACATTAAAGTTATGTCTAAGACCATCCACATTAACTGGGAAAGTTTATCAAATATACCTAATAACCATCTCGATTAATTAAACTTCATATACAAAAAAAACCGATTTATGTCAATTCATCAGTATGCGAAAACACAGATACGCAGACTTCAAACTTAGAACCAATGGTCGGTTGTACGTATATAGATACATGTATAGCTATAAGGAGCTACATAGAGTTGTTAAAACCACAAAATATTAATTAATTGCTGTTTCGAATTACCAAAGCAGAGAATAAAAAAGTAACAATGGTCACTCTCCGCCCCTCCGTAGTTTTAGACACCACACCACGTCCCGCAAATTGACGGAACAGCACAGCTATCAGCGAGGCATTCGCTAACAACCGGTCGACTATTTGCCGTTCCGTCAATGTGACCGTGAATATGCGGAGCTAAAGACGGAGAGTGACCATTCCCTTTTCTTTGTTATTCTCTGCTTTGGTAAAATGTCAGGCATCTACTGCATTCTTTTACATGGCACATTTTACATAGTGAAAAGCTCATCCAGGAAAGTACTGCCACCTTACCTATTTCTACCGCCAAGCAGTAATGTGAGCATACTGCATTCCGGTTTTGAAGGTTAAGGGTGCTGGTGAAATTACAGGCACTGGGACTTTTCTACTTATGTCTCAGGGTATTGGGCGAAGAGACAGTGCACCTCAGATCTTTGCGATTTAAAACTCTGAGTGGCACCGCAACTGTTATGGACAGGTGTGTCGTTTACCATCAGGTGCACGACTTGTTCGTACCTTCACTTAGTATCATAAAAAAAAATTTGAATTCCTTTAAAATCCAACTTCGACTCCCTAGGTCAGTAGCTTTGTAGTAAAACCATTTCTGGAATCCCTAATAATTCGAAAAATAAATTAAGTAATTAATATTTGGTGGTTTTAACACCTCTATGTCGCTCCTTGTAGCTATATCTATACATGTATCTAAATGTGGAACACCTTTTTCCGACCATTGCTTATACTCTTTTTGCGTAGGGTAATAAATAATATTCATCATCAACATGACTCATTACACGTCTCACTGCTGTATCTCACGATAACTTATATCTTTTTATAACTTAGAACCATCGAAGACGATTCACAACCCTTGGCAAACGTGTAAACTCCCCAACTCGCAGTCAGCCAGCGTGTCAGACTATGGCCTAGCCTAAACCTTTTCCCTGAAGAGATTATAATGGGCTGAATATAATGATGAACTAATATAACTCCCTACGAAATGATAAGAACGAACACAAATACGTGGCTCAATATTGGTCAGAAAAAACGTAGAATTCGAAAGCCTTCTCCAAAAAGAAAAACAATATCCACTCACCTTTCTAACCCGACACATGTCAGGGTCAGACAGCTGCTTACAGATCTCTCCCATTGCCAACTCCTGCACCAGATGGGCTTGGGAACCCTTGATAACGTTGGCAAGCACCAAAAGCGCACTCCACGAGTCCAATTCAGCTTCTAGCAAGGGCCACCATGTGTGCGGTATAATGAAGTAGCCCAACAATTCTGCTGCCCGTTTTATCTGGCATTAAAAAAAACATTAAACATTGTGTTTCCGACAAGTGGTGTGTCCTCTCAGCGGCCTTAAGTAGCTTTGTAAATTTAAGATAAGTGTCAGATGGTAGTAAATTGTTTTGATTGCCGCCGCCCCGCCGCCTTCCTCGCTACGCCGTGTAGCCGCGATACGATCGATTGATACGATCGCGCTGTTAGTAATACATTGCGTAACGAAATAATAATTTCAAAACAGAAAATATTCAGCTTGCGTTTCCGGGAAAAATTTCCTGTGATTTTCAAATATGAATGATGGCCTGAATCCACTGTTTTGGTTGTCGGCAACCTGTCACTTCCACCCTGTATCATTTATATTATATAAATGTATAAGCGTGACGAAAATTCAGTCGATAGTCGATAGAATATTTATCGACTGCAATCACTAGCTGCTCGCAAGCGGGCAACACTTGTATAATGAACCGTCATTTTACTCCGTCTTCAAAAAAGACAGACGATAAGTACTTACCTTGAGAGTTATAACGTCACTTAATACATAGGTATTACACGGGTATACATAAGATTATTCTATTCCCAGTAAATTACCTCAACAACGACACGTGCGTCATCATCGGCGGCGCCGCGATGTAGCGCTCGCACTATGGTAGGCGCATGCTGTGTACATCCGTCTTCACCATTAAGAAGAAGCCAACATAGTAGTTGAGATACACGAAGACGTGTGTCAGCTTGCCAACCCTCCATCTCTGAACAAAGAATCATTGTAATCTTGCCCAGCCACTCTTTATAGCTAGATAAGCCAATACGGGAACGTGATCCTATCCAATACTAACGACAAGATTAATGTCTATTACAAGAGATGACAAGAAAAAATAAAATTCAATTTATCTTCCCCTATCATTAATGATAAATATTGCATATAGTTTTTCAAATATTATAATTGTTTTAAGACTACGTTGCATTTAAGTCCGCCTAAGATCCTAAGGACAAGGAAATGGCTGAAAAACAGAGCTATCTACGACAACAGAGGTTCCAGGCAGCACAAGCTGAGACACCACCTTTTGCTTTCTGATACGTTTGACATACCGTTTATTTTTTGGCTTAATATATTATTTATGTCCAAAAAAGTGTCATTGTGGCAGTAAAGAATTTTTGTATTTGTATTTAAATAATTATAACTTTGTTTACTAAAAAAGCGACCTGAAAAATTACATCTGTCATCTGTAACAGAAAGGGGAAAGTGTAAAGAAATGCAATAAACCGAGTTCATCCTCCGAATTAACCACACCTAGAAGTTTAATATTTTCTTCATTTCAATGGGACTTCTACTGAAGTACCCCCTTTCCAACAAAAAAATCATCAAAATCTGTTCACAAAACTCGAAGTAAACGCGTAACATCCACACCAAAAAAATACAAGTCGAATTGAGAACCTGCTCCTTGTTTTAAAGTCGGTTAAAAAATATTACCTCGCCATATAGCTGGAGCGATTTTTCCAATATTAGTCTGAACTAGGGTCCGACATCCAAGATTCGGTCGTTTCAAGTCAGGAGGGTAGTGTGAAGGATGATCCTTGAGGAAGTCGGTTTTCTTTTTGAGATCTTCTTCGTTCTCCTCCATATATTGCAAACCAACGTCGTTCCAAAGTTTTGTTGCTGTTTCTCTGATATCATCCATTACGTCACTTAAGCTACAAAATTTTGATATTGGAATATTAGGTAAACGAAAGCCGTTCGTTACAAATATCTTATAAGCTAATGCTTTGATTTTTTATCATAATGCACATGCATGCATCATCACATCACAACGGCAGAATTAGACAACATGGTAGTACCCAACAGACTGTTACATAGGATCTCATTGAAAAGTAAAAATAGAATATAGTCAAATTTCTTCAGCTTGAATAGACATCTGGATATTCTTCTTTGAACAAGTTGGTGGTCTAGTGTGGAAATTGGAAATAGGTCAGCTTCTTCTTTTTCTTGTCGTACCTGTACTATAATGCTTGCCAGCGTTGTGAAAGGACTTGTCAATTACCGTAAGATACCTCGCCGATTGTGGTCCAAGATACGCCAGACGTAAATAAAAAAATAATGGTACGTAGTTTCCTTCCGTGGACTCAAGGTCAGCAAGATCAGCTACCCTGACCGTTATATTTACAGAATCCTATAATATAGGTCTTATAAGATTGTCTAAAAATTGTGAAGGTATCTCAATTGGCATTGACAAATTTTGAAATGGTACTACAGCTTTTACAAAACTATTCATGACATACCGTCCTAAGTGGTAAGGAACAAAAGTCTTTATGAGGCCTAACAAGTGTGCCAGAAGTAGTCAAAATAAATATAAATATTAGACATCACATACGTTGCTTTGATCCCAAAGTAACTAAAGCACTTGTGTTATGAAAATCGGAAACAACAACGGTATCACAATCATCCAGACCCAAGATCATATACAAAAGTTAGTTTTCACATGACCCGACCGTGGATCGAACCGAAAAGTAGCAGTAGAGCTCCTTGTGAAAGAGTTCGCCCAGAGAAGTACTGCCACCTTACCTCTTTCTGCCGCCAAGCAGAAATGTCAGCATTACTAAGCTCCGGTTTTGAGGGTGCTGGTGAAATTATAGGCACGTGAGACTTGTCAACTTGTCTCAAAATGACAGGCTCAGTGGCAGCCACCCTCATATATCTTTGCGATTTAAAGCTCTTGAGTGGCACTGCAACTGTTATGGACAGGCGTGTAACTTACCACCAGTCACACGACTTGTTCGTCTCTTCACTTGGTATTATATAAAAAAAATCCAAACCCAGACTATCTACGAAAGTTAGTTTCTCTATTGACCCGATCGGGGATCGAAACAGGGACCTCAGAAATGGCGACAGCATGAAAAGCACGCATTTCGTAGCAATATCCAATAAAATCAATAATTCTAGGCATTATACGAGAATGGTTGGAAATGTACCTGGTAAGCAATAGAGGAATCATGCGATGCCAGAAAGAGTATCGATCACGATAGTTAAGCATCCAGTTGCCAACTTCGACAGTCACCTGCATGCGAACGTGTGCGTTTTCGTCGAACAGTTTTTCGGCCATTGGCGTGATAGACTTCTCTAAGCATTTGTAATCGCCTGCCATGACTATTGCGCCTGGAAATTTAGAAATATTTAAAATTAAACTATTTTATCCGAATCAAAATCGTGTTTATTTGTTTATTCTAATTAGCCAACGTTTCGGACTTTACAGGCTGACCTAATGGCGACACTTCACATGGCTACTTGTATTCGCTATGGTGTTTGATGTACTTGGGAAAAATATTTGACGTACCTACAGACAAACATACAGATAGGTACTGACAAAAATGACCACATGTCACACATGCCAAAAGAAGTTAAATTAATGAATACCATAGTGTGGACGGTTTGCTCGAGAAACCGACCAGCGCGCGGTAACGCGAGTTTGGTTGCTGTATTTGTCGAATACTTATGCTAATACACATGCTACACATACTGATGTTTGCCAAATATATCAAATTCGCAAATACAAATAGCCATGTGAAGTGCCACCACAAAAACAAATATACGCTATTTAGATCTGGAAAACGTTTTATTTCCAATGTGTAGCAATCGCTAAAACGAAAGAACTCGGAAAAAAATTTGCGAAAGTTAAGTATGTATAATATTGAGCAGTGTTATTTCTTTTTAAGTTGAATGTTGCTATAAAACAGGACTCCTAAATTGACTTAATTATACTTGGTGGTTATTAGATACCTGCCTACTGACAACTAACAAAAAGATAGATAGATACTTTACTGCTCACACAACAAGAACAAAAACAGTACATAGACAGCTCAAAACTATTGTGCGCAAAGGCGGCCTTATCGCTAAGAGTGATCTCTTCCAGACAACCTTTGAAATATAGGCCAGCAAATCAGAGCAGGATACGTAGTGTGCCAAAGTAAAATTTTAATTGTATACAGAGATAGACAAAAATTAACATTAATAATATTATTTTATTTATTTATTTATTTTTCATTAATCATTAATAATAATTAACGAATAATAAAGAAATAAACTAAAAAAATTTAGTTCTGTGTGACTTGCTATATGGAACCAGGGATGTTGAGAATAAATGCTTCCGCATCCACGGACAATCAGCATAAATCAAAATATTTACATCCGCATTCATTGATGCTGAAATTCATTGCATATGCTCGAATTGTGACATGACTTAAAAGGCATGCTGGAGCTGAAAGCTTTTTCATGTAGACAGATTCAGTAAGGATGGACATTTTTGTTTAAATACATAATATCAGCATCTGCATCCACTGATGTGTAAAAAAACTGCATCAGCAAAAACCCTGATAGGAACTTATGAAATACAATATCTGTATGACCGATTATCTTACCCATAGTTTTAATAGACGCAACTCTAACTCTAAAATGTTGGTGAGCATAGTTCGACAGCACCGGTTTCACATAGCTCTCTGATTGGAACTGAAACTCTCTTGGCACAATTTTAGTCAGAGCTATAACGCATTCACAAGCTTCCAGCTTTACTTTAGGATACGGATCAGTTACCGTTTTCGTTAGAATGTTAGTGAAATCATTTATAAATGGACTAAGGAGGTGGGGCACTTTATATTTCTTTAATATTAAGTGGACTAATTCAATCAGTTTCAAACGAATCTCCTCGGAATCTTCGATGATCTCTGGACAACCAATACGTCGGACTATGACAGGCAGTATATAGGTGAGGTAGTAGTCATTCAGGGGCAACTTGCCGATGAAATTCATTATAATTTTGGCGGCGCACTCTCTACATGCCTCCGCAGAGTCAGAGAAGCTTTTTAGTACATAAGGGTAGACTTCAGGAAAAATCATAGTGAGGTCGCAATCGTCATTAGTTGGGTTCTCGAATATCTCATCGTTTATGCTCTGCAGAGCCTGTTTTCTGGCCATTTTCGATTCACTCTGTAACGTGATAATGTATTGTTCTAACGCCGCTTTGGGATTATCCTTTAACTTTGGTTTAGTTTCTGCCATTCTTAGGTACAGTTTTAAGTAGTATTCACAGGTAAAAGGCAACGTTTTATGGACTAAATTGGACCAATTGCACCAAACGACCTGTTATTGATAAACAAAGTCATGTTTCCATAGCAACTGACAGCTGGCTGGAAGTTTTTTTTTTGACACCTACATCGTAAAAAAGCTTAGAGGATAGATAAAATAAAGGAAAAAAAATGTAAATTACAAATCGTTTCAAGACTCCATCCACATTTTCGATAATGGTATAACTTCTTTAACAAAAATATTTTATAAAAACGGTAAACGGTGTTTCAAATAAATCAGGTGAAATAAAACTTAGAAAAATTACTTTCCATGACAGCGTTTGCGCGAAACGGAACGGGCTACTGACGTGCACCAATCACAGCTCGCCAAGTACATCTGTCAACGTTTTCATTTTCCATGAATGGACGGTATCCTTCTACAAATTCAATTTCATCCCAAATTTACGTAAGTTGTGAGCCTGAGCGGACTGTTAAATTTAGCACCCCATTTCACTGAATAAAACTGCTCAAAATGTGTAAATTAAATGTGTTTCATTTACTATTTGCGGCGGTATTGCTGCACGTAGCGGCAGCGTTGAAAGAAGGCGAATGTGAAGTCTGCGTGAAGACATTGGATAAATTTGCGGCCACGTTATCCGACAATGTGAAAAAGGACCACAAGTTGATCGAGTCTGAATTCAAGAAGTTTTGCAAAGGTACGAAGAACAAAGAGAACAGATTTTGTTACTACTTGGGTGGTTTGGAGGAATCAGCAACCGGCATTCTGGGGGAGATGTCCAAACCGCTGAGCTGGTCCATGCCATCGGACAAAATATGTGAAAAACTACGAAAAAAGGACGCGCAAATTTGCGATTTGAGGTTCGACAAACAGATTGACCTGAATAACGTTGATTTGAAAAAACTAAAAGTACGTGACCTGAAGAAGATCCTCAACGACTGGGACGAAGTTTGCGATGGTTGCATCGAGAAGACAGACTTCATCAACAGAATAGAAGAGCTAAAACCTAAATACATGGGCAGTAGCAGATCTGACTTGTAGAAATGTTGTTTACAATAGGTAAGTTGTCATTGTTTTTGTACATTCACTATCAATTCATCATTTAAATTTGCTAGAAACTTCTAGATAAAATCACAATGTGCTCTTAATGTTTATCGGTTATACTAACTTGTGTTTAATAGTATTGATACAAATGCAGGTCTTTGTAAGTAACTAAAAATATCTAAATAATATGTCAGATACTTGCCACACAAAATGTATTCTGTACAATATTCCTTATTAGGCATATTTAATGTACTTCTTTTTTTTATGTAGGTATGTGGGAATGGGCATAAAATTAGTTACTAAGAGCAAATCAAGCTTGACACTGGACTGTGCTAGCTTAAAGAGTTGAATTTAAATCTTGATTTGTGCTTGACTCTGTACATATTAAATTTGTTATATGAAATTAACAGTAAAAATAAATCTGTGATATATTAAAATTGAAATCTAGTCTAACAAATAATGCAACATACAAACATTTTATGCCCTTTTCTCCACTGAGGTAGACCGAGACTACTGACCACAAATGTTTTCCAAAACACAAGTTTTAGTGTTGTTAATTATTTAGACTTAAAATAATAAGATTGTATCATCCTAACATTATCCATTCTCAAACACATAAATATGAGTATGTATTATATATAATACCAATTGCTAGGAGATAAACATTTACTAATATTTCATTTCTCAACATATGCTGCTGTTCAAGAATATTCAATCTAAACAAAATAGTTAATTCTATTTCTTACTGTACAGCATTACTTGAAATGTCTCATGGCAACATGGGTCAGTATAATGATTCATACCCTTAATGTGATGGACATGTTTCAAACTTTTTTATACCATGGGACTTGTCAATTTATGATTCACGGTGATGGGTGTTGTGCAATACCTCTCAGATCTTTGTTATTTAAAGCTCTGAGCGGCAGTGCAACTGTTATGGACAGGCTTGTCGCTTACCACCAGGCGCACGGCTCATTTGTCCCATAACTTGGTATCTTAAAAGAACCGTGTTCCTGATAAATCAATTGTGTTTGAGATAGATGAGAATATTATAGAAAGCCATCTTTAATAGCAGTACACTTAACTAAGAAAAAAACTTTAAACCAACATTTTTGTTTCAGATAATTTCACATAAGAACTTTACCATGTGATAGACCATAGGCCGGTTAAGTGTGCTGTGCAACCGGACAATTAATTTATTGCATTTCAAGTGGATGGAGTGAGTCAAGTGAATGTATGTGTAATAAATTATTGTAACTTAAGTAAATAAATAATTTTTCCAATGATATATTGTTTCATCTTTTTTAATTTTTGTTTGCTCTAGCCCTGTACTGATGTTTTTTTAAGCTTGTTTTAAACACTATATATTTCCTAAAGATAAACTCAAAAAAAAACTAATATTAACAGCTACAAAATCTATTCATTCTTCCCATTACATTAAAACAAATTCCCTGATCTACTGATTATTACTAAATATCATGGTGCTCATTTTATTTTTTGTGAAATGACTTCACTAGTTTGTCATAACCAATGGTCAGAAAAAGGTATTCCACATACATAGATACATGTAGGAGCTAGTAGGAGCGATAGTGTTGTTAAAATCACCAAATATTAATTAATTACTTTCTCGAATTAGGGATTCCAAAAATGGTTTTACTACAACATAGGACAAAACTACTGACCTAGGAAGTCGAAGTTGGATTTTAATGTTGTTCTAGTGGTGGCATGTAAAAGAACTTACTCCCAACCTCAGACGCTGTCGCATTAGTGACATATTGAAATACTATTTTAATTATTTATACAGGTGTCATTGTATATTATTTTGAACCGAATGACATCAAAAAGACCTCACTAATTTTATCATTTTAGTAAAGCTGAAACTGCATGGAATTTCAAAAAATAGTACTAATATGAAAAATGTATAGGTAGTTCAATTTTGAGGCAGACCTACACATATTTATTATCCTATAGTAATAACTAGTCCATTTACAATTACATTAGACAATCATATTTATTGTTATACCTATTTCAAAGGCATTTTTTGTCCTAACAAACAGGTTGTCTATGATATTTACTATATGGAAGATGATCTAAGAATAAAAATATTTACAAAAGAAATCAACAAACATCAAAGACAAATGAATTGAAGGTGATTGTTTTAAGAAATCATTCATAACATTAAATGTTGAAATCAGTACACAAACAGGTAAACACAATGTGCAACGTCATAAACGTACAGCCAATTTTGTAAGAATATAATGTTCAATACCAAATAAACTAACAATATATAATAAATAAAACATGATACTCAGATTCACTAGTACAGTTTTATTTGCAAAGCTGTTCACCTCAAACACTAATGGTACATAATCACTTCAATTCATAACAATAAATATGCATAACGGCTGCAATAAGTGACCTTGATTGAAACTCTGGATTACTTGTTAGTGGTACTTGTAGTTCCTGTGGTGCTCTGTAATAAAAGAAAAAACTAAGTAAATTTTAGTAATGAAACCAATTAAACAAATTGAGAACTATGTCTCTCGAAGATCATCTCAAGAATTTTTAACACTTCTCAAATAAATCATGACTGTCACACAAAATACAAAGAATCAACACGAAATGATACAAAATTTTTTGGTAGTATAATAGAAGTTCAGACAATGTCAAGAGCAAATCTTCAAATAAAAAACAATGGCAATGCTTCTAGATTTTAAACATTAAGGCCACAAATTCGGAACTACAGCACAGACAGCGGAGCGTTCAAGGTTTGCATGTACATTTATGCGCAAATCTTGAACGCACCACCCTTCCGAACTTGTGGCATTTACTTTATCTCTAGGTCCCAATCCTACATTCTTTTTGGGCCAGCATTGAAAATGTCAATCAGATGTACCATAGTATAATAATATACATATAACAGTTCAGTGAATCACGGCTTTAGAGTCAAGGTCTGTGGCAATTTTTACTTAATATTTGAGTACATTATCATGAAATATTCAATTTTATTTTTGCCACAGAAAACACTAAACCCGAGAATAACCCATGTATGCATCTCACAGTTTAGTTTAGGGATAGTGTGGACATTTGGAACAAAATCTGATAAAATTTTGATTCAAATTTCATTTGGTTTCAATAAATGGATTTCTTGTATTGTGTTCAAATCTGTGCAACTGAAACATATTATTAAACTGAATTTAACAGTTGCTATTCAGGTTGAAAAATTAATCATGGAAACATACAAAAACTACAATTTAAAAAATCTCCAAATATACCTGCAGTAATAGCTCTAAGAAAATAAAGCAATGCTAAAAAGAATTTGCTTGCTATAAACTGTTAGTATATGATTACTACTCTGGCTTGGATACTTACTCATCTTGCCATAATTGATAGCATAGAAGAATGCCATTGATCCAACCACAAGCTGGAAGAATGGCGCCATGCCCACTCTCTTAGGTTGCACGTACTTGTGTTGCCATCTCCAGAAAGCTACCAAACCAAATAACAATTTAAGTTCTTATTAACTGCCACAAATAAATATAACCTCAAAAATTCATTATATCGACACTACCTCGGCTGCAAGCACCAGCTACAGCCGCTGGGGTCTTGTTTCTACGCCCAAACCAGGAACCAATCTCGCTAATCTTCAACTGACTGAAAGGTGTATCAGCTGAAAACGAAAAATAAAATTACATAACCGAACTTTGTAAAGTACAAGGGCAAAAATTTAAGACCAACATTTTCGGCCAATTACTTACGCTTTCCATAATAACGAGCCGGGTCATATGGTCCATGCACTGCTGGATTGTATTCTTTGGGATAATCACCGAAAGCCATCGTTCCGAGGCGTTTTTATCGAATTTTCTTGAACAGAAGGAATTTGGTAACTCCTGCTGTCAAAATTAAACCAGAGACAAATCTTATTTCTTCTTTGTATATTGCTTCACTCCGGAAATTAAACTATTCTCTTTAAAATGGCAACACAGCCAATGACAATTGACATTTGATTGTGGTATATCTTGTCTATGATTATACAGCAAAATTCGTCTTTTGTGAATATTGAATTTTGCAATTTTGTGAGAATTCGCGGCTATAAACCAGCAATATGGTTCTTGAAAGTACAATGATTTGTGTGGATAACAGTGACTATATGAGGAATGGAGATTTCCTCCCAACGAGGCTACAAGCTCAACAAGATGCTGTAAACTTGGTATGTCATTCCAAAACACGGTCAAACCCCGAGAATAATGTGGGTTTACTGACACTGGCAAACACTGTTGAAGTCTTGGCAACATTAACTAGCGATGTCGGGCGTATTTTGTCAAAACTGCACCGTGTACAACCCAAAGGAAACATTAACCTACTTACGGGTATTAGAATTGCACACTTGGCGTTGAAGCATCGTCAAGGGAAAAACCACAAAATGCGCATTGTAGTCTTTGTCGGTTCTCCCATTAACACCGACGAAAAAGAGCTAGTGAAACTGGCCAAAAGACTGAAAAAGGAAAAGGTGACATGTGATGTTGTTTCTTTTGGAGAAGATTCCGAGAACAATCCTCTGTTAACCACCTTTGTTAACACTCTGAATGGCAAAGACAACACATCTGGTGGTAGTCACCTTGTGTCTGTGCCAGCTGGGGGCTGTGTAGTGTTGTCGGAGGCTTTAATTTCAAGTCCACTGATTGGTGGAGATGGAGCTGGACCGTCTGGTTCTGGTTTGTCGCCATTTGAATTTGGAGTTGATCCTAATGAAGACCCTGAGCTTGCCTTAGCACTGCGTGTGTCCATGGAAGAACAGAGACAGCGCCAGGAGGAAGAGTCTCGCCGACAGCAATCCAACACAGAAGGAGAGTCTGGAGGTGCTACAGATGCACAAGGTGGAGGCATGGAACGAGCTCTTGCCATGTCACTTGGTGGCCGCGAAGCCATGGAGCTATCTGAAGAAGAGCAGATTGCACTAGCTATGCAAATGAGCATGCAGCAGGATGTACCAGTAACTGAAGAGAGTATGGATGTCTCTGAAGAATATGCCGAAGTAATGAATGATCCTGCTTTCCTGCAAAGTGTACTTGAGAATCTGCCTGGTGTAGATCCCCAGAGTGAAGCCATTAGGAATGCCATGTCCACCATTAAGAAAGATAAAGATGAGAAAGATGACAAGGACAAAGATAAGGATGGAGGAAATACTGGCAATACATCAAATGAGTAGGATTTTGCTATTTTTATTGATTACACTGTGCTCGTAAATTTAAACAACATAGACAACACTGTGCTGTGTACTACTATTATAAATTTATAAATACAGATGAATTTCTTTCAATTCATTCTTTCACTGTCTTCAGTTATTATTTCCATGAAATCCAGTTAAGCCCTTCTATATTATCATACTCTGTAACAAAAAAATTGATACTGAAGTGGAGTTGGAATGACATTGCTAAAACTTGTTTGAAGAAAATTGTATTTTAAGTGACAATTGAACAATGTTAACATAACATAAATACATATTAATCCCTGGTCTATCAACTGATGTATTTTTGAATAAACCCAGAATTTTTTGAATAAAAGAAATTAATAAAAATCTGATAATTTCCCAATTGAAATCAAAATATTACATAATTATATAATTACAATAATACATATAATACGACTCTAAAACAGCAGAAATTTCTATATGTATAACAAAATTATTAATCACAGTGACAGCGATTGCTTTTTCTGTGTTTTGCTTCATTTTCATCGTGTTTTGTTGTTACTTGCTACGGGCTTGCTACGCAACTCTACGTCTGTAGTCTGACTGTTTAGGTACTTAAATAAATGTAAACAATCTTGAGACGTCTATTTAATGAAATATACATTTATAAAATGATTTTCCCTTACCTTCAAATACAAAATACAAATACTTCGCTTCATATGAAATTGCATGCCTATTTTTATACCTATTGATTTGTAAAGCATGTGTTTCAATAAAAAGATGTATCAAGATTGTTTACATTTAGTTAAGTACCTAAACAAATGGACTATAGAGGCCTATTTTTGCGTGTGGTTGTTGTTACTTTAATTGTACCTTTCAACAGTTTTTTATCTTTATGTGTACTGAAAATAGCGTCCAGCAACTTTTGAAAAGTTCTATTCTATAATGAAGAGCGCGAGTGACGAACGCGCTATGCACCGTGAGATAACTTGAATGTGTGCGTCCGTACACGGCGCGCGGCGGATATGCACACATACAAGCTGCATTGGTACGTGCAAACATTGCATTGCATGGAGTAAGGGCTTAAGCACACGGCCTATTTTATGCACGCAGACGACGCGCTGAGGACGCGCTGACGGCGTCGTCAGTCGTCAAACGTCGTCGCGTTAACGCGATTCAAACGAGATTCAGTCGTAGCCAGTAAACCTATGCACAAGTTCACAAATCCATACACGGCATAAACGCGCGTTTCACCCTCGTTTGTGAAACGGGCATTTACGGAGCGTACTCTCAATTGTAGCACAATGGCGTCGGTTGAGACAACACTGCTTACGCTAACTTTATTACTGATTTTAAAAAGAAAAAATATACACGTAGTCCCTCCCCCATTATGAATTATCCAAGCAATTAGCATTCGTACTAACTACTATTGTCCAAGTGGATCCTATAGCTCCGTATAAATTACATACACGACGTAATCGCAGTATGTTGCTTCTTATATTTCTACTAACGCTTCTGTATTTATTTAAAAACGATTTGGAAATGCCGCTACAAATCCCGCGCGGCCTCGCGGTGCCGCATTATACATTCTATCACTTCAAATTAGAGGTGCGTGATAAATAATGTCACGATGATCCGCCGTCAAACAGGATCCCCGTGATTCGTTCCGAAGAAACGACGTTCCAAAGTCACATAGGTGTAGGTATTGGAACGGTCCAATAGCTGTTTTTTTTTTTTTTTGAATGATATTTAGCAGTTGGCCGCTGATGGCCTTTACTGCGCCACCGGAGAAAGAGGGCGAGCTGAAGGCTCATAACCCCGAAAATAAACTTAAAGCTAAGTAGCGGGCCTGAGGGCGCCCAAGTGGGCACGGACCTCGGCTCAGGGCGCTACTGGAGACTTCCGTCAGAAGGGCGTGCTGTAGGAGAGAATCTACCACTGTACGTGCTGAAATGAGGGGCTCGACGACCTCGCCGGCGAGGACGGTTGGTGCGTGAGGGACGGGACTGACTAGCGATCTGGTTGGACTTCAAAGTGGCGAGAGTGATAAGGTCGTCAGGGTCGTTGAGGACTTCCCTTGGCCGACGGGTCTTACGTACGCGGTGAGGTTGTTCCCTGAGGGGGTCGTAGGAAGATGCAGCCACCACGAGGGGGTTGGGGTGGTGAGGAGCAGAGTCGAAGTATTTCCTCGATGCCTGTTTCATGAATTGGGCTATTGTGGGGAGCCGTAAATCTATATGGAGGTTAGCGTTGCGCAGGTACCACGGGGCACCCGTCGCGTTGCGCATGAATCTATTTTGGAGAGCCTGCAGGCGGTGTATTAGCGCGGGATTTGCCTCAGCGAATGCGACGCTGGCGTACGTCATGATTGGGCGGAGCAGGTCGTGTACAGTCTCACCTTATTGCTAAGGGAGAGTTTGCTATGCTTGTTGAGAAGGGGATGGAGCCGGCTCATAACAAAGTGGGCGCGATCGCGGACGGTTTTCACGTGTGCTTTGAATGACAGCTTCCTATCGAGCGTAACTCCTAAGTATTTGACCGTGTTCACCCAAGGGATTTGAAGGTCAAAGAGCGAGATCGGGGTGATTTCTTGTAACCTACGACTGGATAGGTTACTTCGCGTGAAGAATACCGCCGCGCTTTTGTCGGGATTGACTTCGATTCTCCATCTGCGAAACCACTCGCCTAGGCGTATGCTCACTCACAAGGGTCGTAGGTGCTTATACTACTAGAAAGGGCGGATGAAAAAAATTTGCAGCAGTTATTATAAACCTATTTATGAACAAAGTAAAATATTTTTGTATATTTCTTTATTATAGGAAGAGTTGGTATTTAATATTTATGTATAATCTACTTTGTGTATTCTACTAGAAATATAATTAACTGCCTCCGTGGCCGAACGGTTACCATGCCGGACTGCCACGCAGAGGTCCCAGGTTTGATTCCCGGGCCGGGCGAAATATTTGTATGACCTACATTTATTTCTCTCGTGAGTTTGGGTGTAATTTGTGGTTGTCTATATGTGTATCCATGGCACCCGCGACACAGGATTTCCCTAATGCGGGGCTATGTTGAGTGTGTGCGTTATTATATTATATTAATTACATTACACTTTATTGCTATTTTTAACAATCCAACGATTCGCATTAAATAAGTAACACACAAAATTACATTCAATACAAAATCAACTTTTTGAATGGAATTGAAACTTATTACAAAGGGAGTAAAAACTTAAATCATTCTATAAAAAACGGCTATAATTATTAGAAAGAAGCCGCTGGCTAAAACCGTATATCGTGATGTAAGTTATAGGCGTGACAAGGTCACGGAAGTGACAGTCGTGACAAAATCACGATGATTTATCACTGTGATTTTTTTGAAACCGGAATGACAGTCACGGCGATAGAAATGTAACGCTATTCCCCATGTCTACTTCAAATCAATTGGAACTTTTTTATTTAGACGATAAGGTCTGCAGCTGTTAGTTGAAAGGCGCATGTGACAAAAACTCAAAACCGAGAAAATTATGTTTAAAGAAATTTAATTGAAAAATATCTACTTTTCTCTTGAGATAACTAAACTTCACACCTTATATACCTAGGAAAAAAAATACATGTGATAGTGACAGATCGGTCTTTTTTCCTGATCACAGCGGGAAATATAAGAAAAAATTTGAAAAACTCAACTACAGCGGCAAAGATTCAAATGCTAAGTAATATACTGTACACCAAAAATGTTCCTCCGTCCGCTGCCCTTTCAGTGTGACTACTTGACCCATAAACTATGATATTACTGACTGGTATTTGTAATGTTATTTTGCTCTTGCCCGCGACTTCGTCTGCCTATGGCCTGCGTAGAATAATTACATCTAGTAGCATAGTAGAGTTTACATAGTTTTATTGGTTCTCCATACAATCTTCTTGCAAGGGGACTTGCAGATATATTTTTGTGACAAAAAGTAGCCTATATCCTTCTACCAAAATTCATCGATAATGGTTCAGAAATTCATCTATATTGGTTCACCCGTTTAGGCGCGAAAACGTAACCCCCAGATTTACTTTCGCATTTATAATATTAGTGTAGATAAAGGTAAGTTTATTTCCTGTTTTTTGTAAGACGTCTTAATACAATATCACCAATTTTATTAATTAGCTATTGCTTCATGTTTTCGACAAAAGCAGTCAGTATCTTGGAGGTTTAAGCCCGTGAAAGTATAAAGCAACATTGTAGTTCCACTTATTTATTACAAACAGAAATTTACCTATTTGACATTTAATAATAGTAACTTACGCGGTATTTAGAAACACAGACCAGTCACAACTAAGTTTCTGTCACATCTGTATCGGTATCGTTTGCGTTTGCATTGTTAAATCTTTAAAAAGCAGTAGGAGCATTGTTTATTCCCAATCTCTTTTTTTTTCCTTTTATAGAGGTATATAGTGTACGAGACTAATGACTAAACCAGAATAGTTACTGCGCACTGAGTAGGGAATCGCCTTTACTTTCTTAGGGTCGTATTCCAGAACTCTAGCTCAAGTCAGGATCTGAGTATGATTTCAATCACTGGAAATACGACCGTAATGGCAGGGACTTGAGTATGATTTCGAGTGCTTTACTCTGACTCAAGTCAGGATATGAGTATTGCAGTAAGCACTGAAAATCATACTCAAGTCCTTGCCATTACGGTCGTATTTCCAGTGCTTCAAATCATACTCAAGTCTGCTCAAATCCTGACTTGAGCATTAAGTAGAGTTCTGGAATACGACCCTTAGTCTATGATAAAGTTTTATCGTTAATTTTAAAAGCTTACTGGCGTCATTCCAAAAATCCTTACTTCGGAACTTTTCTTTCGCTTCTCTCAACTTTTGTATTCTCTCCCACTCCTCCACTGGCTTCGGTTTCGGAATATCTAAAAATAAAGGCAATCAAATTTTTAAAATTAAAATGAAGGTTTTTATCATTAGACAAAAACCTTCATTTCCTTTGAACGAACAATGACATTGGTTGCAAACTAAAAAATCCGAGTCGACCGCGACGGAGTGGCAGTGGAACCTTATGCCCGATTAACATTACCTTCGTATTTACGAAAATCAATGCAATGGTGTCAACTGACAACCTAAAGTTCTACTAAAATTATACTGAAGTATACACTACAAATTATTATATTATTTATTAGCCAGATTTATTGTGAAACACTTTTGGCTTCACAGCAATGAATGCCCAAAGATATGTCAATCGATCTACTCTATCCGATTTCAAGAGCCCTGAATCAAGGGTGGATGTGGCCCTTAAGTTATAAAATAGAAATATGAAGGAAGTTTGTTTAAATAAAAATACGTTAGAGTCGATTACGGAGTTCTTTAAAAACATTATAATAATGCTTTTACAGTTTACATATTCTCTACGCAATCCTCAAAAATAAAATGATCATGGACCAACATTTCAAGAAAACAGTTAATCGCCATACAAGCAGCATAGTCCGGTATTTAAAGAAGCGACACGCTATGATGGCCGTTTTGACGTGTGTTCACTCATAAGTTTCTTATTAATTCATAACTACGTTGAAGGAGCTAATCGCTGTACATTGGTATCAATAGTGACGTGCAGTAAATGTATAATTTTACGACACAACTTTTGTTATTCGAAATTTAAAAAAATGAAATCTAAATACTGTCGTCTCCTAGCCAGCACAACTCCACCTCCGGCAAACTCGCGTCAAAGCCCAATGCAAAACAAAGCAGTTTCGAATTGACGACAATAGGTATATTAAGTCATTGACTTACAAATAAATGGACGACGGGTCTAATACAAAAACCACGAAAAAAATGTCCCAAGTTAACCTATTTAAACGTAGTGACATGTAAAGAAGCTAAAACGTTGAATTTAAATTGTAATGTCATCGCTGTACTGTCTAATTTTGCTTGCTTCGCTGTCAGTCGAACAAACGAAGACTAAAGCGTGAATGACGCTCTGTATACGATTTTAACGCCCTATAAGTTCGGACACTTTTTAGCGCGGACCCGACGTCCATATAATTGCAAGTCAATGTATTAAGTAAAGAAAAATATTTTCGTTTTATTAAAACTTTTTCAATCTAGACCTTTCAATACTAGTTATAAATCTAAAAACGTATAAATGCGACTCGCATTTGATTATTTTTTTTTCTATAATGAGTTGAGATTACTTCACTATTGTAATATGTATATCATGCGGGTACTGTAGTACCTACTAGTACACCAGAGGTCGCGACGAGTACCAAATAGCTATTTTTGCAAGTAATTTGTTCTACATTAACAAGCTGGAATATATCAAAGCTACTCTAATTTCTAGTGATTATGTAAGTCAATGGTGATAATAAACAAATCTACTAGATGGCCCTTATTGCATAGATTTTTATGTGTAGTACCGGCTATTCTTTTATTTTGTACAGGATCTACCCTCAGGATCTACCCATATTCGGCAGTGTAAATTCATAATAAAAATGAAAGTAAATTAATAATGCTACTATTATAAAAAATAAAATTAGTAATGCTACTCCGCGAACCCAGTGACGGTTAAATCGTGTAAAATAGCTGCGCTTTTGTTGAATATTTTTTCATGCAGTTAATTATCCCACCCTTCCTTAGCATAAAATTAATAAAATAAATAACACAAGCGCAACTACCGTCACAAAATACCAAAAATATTCACTGTATCGCGGAGTAGCACATTAGTTTACTTCCATTTTTATGAACATGGACTTCAGCAAAGTAACGCTTGAATCTATTAATTAGTTAATTCATAAATTAGTTTGTAACATACAATGCCATTTATTGACATGCATATTTTGTCATTGTTCAGAAATATTTGAATAATACACACATCAAAAGTGTCTAGGGATCAAGTGAATATTTTTGAAATAAAAATTATTTAAGCAATATTTACCAAATCCAGTCTTCCAGGACGACTTCTTACTTTAATGCTTATGTTTTATTTAACCGCTTACCCCTATATTTAATTAAAATAAACTAAAATTGATGTTTTTGCAAATTGTGGGAAAAAACTCAAATTAACGGCGTCAATTAAATGACAAAAAAATGGCGAAAATGATGATTTTGCTCATTTTTATTATAAAGATAAGAAAATTAATAATCTGTATTTCCACCATTAACACGAATCACACAATTACAGCGATTTGGCATGCTTAAGATGAGTTCATCAAAATCACTTTGAGGAATGGCCGCCCATGTGTTTTGTAACAAGTCAAAATATTGTTGTAGAGTATGTACGGTATGCATACTCGGCACAGCTCTTCTTTGAAGCATATCCCATGCGTGCACAATTGGATTGAGGTCTGGCGATTGAGCAGGCCACGGCAGAACGTTGATACGAGCTTCGGCAAGAATGCGTGTTACGACTCTAGCCGTGTGTGGACGTGCGTTGTCATGCATTAGTTGAAATGAATCACCCAACTGGCCTCGCAAAGGGATGATAACATCTGAAACAATCCTCTCTGCGTAAACTTGAGCATTGAGGTTACCCCTGATCCAAATGAGATCGGTTCTTCCGCCGATCCAAATACCGGCCCATATCATTATTGTTCCCCCACCATATGGATGAACTTCCTGACAATATCTCAGACGTTCATGACGTCCAGATGTTCTCCAAACTCGAGTACGTCTTGTATCCGGTCTCATACCGAAGCTGGATTCATCCCAAAAGCACACATAGCGCCAGTCTTCTTCCTCCCAGTTTCTGTGTTCGCGAGCCCATCGTAAACGGGTCCTGCGATTGCAGGGTGCAATAGGTGGAACTCTGAGCGGCCTTCGGGATCGCAGACCCACTTCACGTAAACGATTTCGGATTGTTTGATCGCTTATTAGCAAGCCTGAGGAGCTGTAGAGCCTCGTAACCAACATCATGGCGGTCATGGTACGATTCCGTCGAGCAGTATTTTGGATATACCGGTCCTGTCTGCGAGTCGTGACGCGAGATCGTCCTCCATGTCCCTGGGCCACGCTGCCCGTCATGCGATAGCACGTCCAGCGGCGACTTATGACGCTCTGTGTAGTGTTAAGAGTGAAAGCCACAGCACGTTGCCTGGAACCAGCTTCCAACATTCCGACAGCTCGCATCATCACTTCTCGGGTTAAATGATGTCGTCTCTGCATAATAATGTAAATTGTTTCGGTTCCGATGCAGATATTGTAATGATTTTGTCAAAACGCTATAACTCATTTTTATACAAAACCACATTGACAATCGATTTTCTTCTTATTATCGAATTTTAAACAATATTCCTTATTTAAATGTTAAAACTCACTAAAAAGTATCAATAGCGATACAAAAAAGTTAATATAATTAACCCTAATTGCAGCAATACTCTTAAACGTAATTGATCCCTAGACACTTTTGATGTGTGTATTAGGTACCCACAAGGAAAAATAAACTGACATCTTATATATCATATTAAAGATTAATAAATTGATATCCACGGTCATTTACATGAGATAAACTACTTCCAGGCTAATAGTTAGGGCGCCACTCTTATTAACTTATACGTACAGGTATTTTAGTAGCAGTAGAGCTCCTTGTGAACGAATTCGTCCAGGGTAGTACTGCCACCTTACCTATAGTAGATAGTGTAATAAGCCAAATATAATGAGACAAATAAGACTTGTCGATAAACGCCAGCAACAGCATGAACGAGCCCTTGAGGCGCGAACGATATATATATATATATATATATCTATGCTTTACTATAATCCTTTACCTGGATCTGCTTGCACATTCTTTTTATTTAATAAAAGCATTGAGCTCTTAATGTCTTCTAATTTTGGCTTGAAACTTTTATTACTGCGAACTCCGGCTGCAAAAAAGAACAGTCATAAGCGGGCTAAGTTTAAGAACCCAATAAAAGAGGATTCTTTACGCGGGAGCCACTTTTCTACTGGGGTAATTAGGTAATTAGGTAGGTGGGAGGTACTGGGGAATCTACTGGACCAAGTAGTTCCGAAGTACACTGAAGGCAAAAGGATGTCAATATGATAATTTAAATTCTTCTTCTTCTTCGATCGTTTATAATTGAACGTGCCATTATCTTTTTTTTCATCAAAAAAAAAAAGTCAGGTGCACCACAGTCCATTGTCAATTTCAAAAATCTTTTAGAAAAACCCTTTCGAATTTTTTTTAATGAACATTTGGAATGAGAAAGGAAGCCTTTCCGAGCTAGTGAGGTGAAAAAATACTTTATTAGATTTCAAAATGACTACAACTTTAGAACAGCAATTTAATACATTCACCCCTCTGTCGTCGAACGGTTACCATGCCGGACTGTCACGCAGAGTTCCAGGTTCGATTCCCGGGCCGGGAGTAGTTGTATGGCCTACAATTATTTCTCTCGTGAGTTTGGGTGTAATTTGTGGTTGTCTATGTGTGTGTCCATGGCACCCGCGACACAAGATTTCTCTAGTGCGGTGCTATGTTGAGTGTGTGCGTTATTATTATACCCTAATATATTAATCTTGTATACATACATCCTGGCTTTCCCATAACGGGTATAAAGTTGATGTCTTTGCTCATAGATTGTTTAAAAGCCGCAATCTTCTTCACTGAGTCGTTAAAAACATCTCTAGGAGTCTGCTTTGCTTTGTGAATGTCGTTAGATGATGACTTTTGTTGAGAGTCTGAAAGCAAGTTTAGTAAACAGAATCACGCCAATTCAACACTAAGCGTGAGTGGCCCTATACATTTTTCTACAGACATTTCCATTGTCACGGGCGCCATCCTGACGGCAAGATGCACAAGACTATACGAGCTATAAGCATAATCATTATAGATACTATTACCGTAGTATATTAAGACAAATGGGTAAAGCGCGTGAGACGACCAGAGCGGCATATAGCCGTAGGAGAAAAGGGGGGCAATGGGAGCCACTTAAGCAATTATTGTAATAACAATCGAATTACAAAATAAAATATTTATATTATAACTACTTTATAATGAAATTAACATATTGAAGTAATACGATACATTTCAATCACTTTGACTTTATAATTTGGGAATCACAATACTTTAAAAACAAATACATTTTAACCGCCATTGTCCTTACGTGTTGGCAATCTATTTGCAATTAGGGTCAGGTAAATCAAATATAAATATCACAAACATAGCCCTTGCCGGAGACACACTGCACTCCGCGTAAGCCCAAAACACACAAAGTGCACTAGTACCACATTTCATTGTCTTGCTCCAATTCGTTGTATATTGTCCATCTAATTCCTTTTGGGTCATCATTTTCGTCATTTAATTGAGAGAGAAACAATAGGTTGAGATTGTTTTCTTTAATAAACACGTTGGGGTTCAATGGAAAAATACCAGCCAATCTAAAGCCAGTCTCCCGACTCCCAATCGACTCCTATTACCCACAAATGATATGTCTATAAATAAAAAATGTCATCAAAGTGGAGAAGATAGGTCATAGTTTTCACGTGGGTCATTCACACGCTTATTTATTTGTTATATTAATAGCATTATTTACGTACTTAAATTTGTATCACAGCTGTTGTTATCATAACTACTACTGGGCGTTGTTTCCAAATGTCTCTTGTAGATTATTTCGAATTTTAGGCGGTTTGGCTGCACTTGGTTTTTCTGAAAATACGTTGTAAAAATTTCTCAAAACTTTTAATTTACAAATTTATAAAACTACGTGAAAACTATGACCTATCTTCTGAACTTTTGATGACATTTTTTATTTATAGACAGGTCAGTTGTGGGTAATAGGTACTTAGATGAAATCTAATTGCTTTTCGGGAAACTTGGCAGAACACAAACGAAAAATTTATAAATGAAGCGTGAAATCCTACAGTACTTGCTTCTAAATTGACTAATAAAACCCAGGAATTTTAAATATATAACTAAATAGTTGCTCTACAAAATTATAATGTTAGATAACTGCATTGCTACTGAAAACAAGAAAAATGCTTTTAAATATTTACTTTTTGAATTTGAGTTATCTTTTGCAGTAGAATTTACATAATTTTTGTTTTCTTTTTTATTTTGATTCATAAATGAACTTGTACATTTTTTAGCGTCGGACCTATTATTAAAATTTGATTTCATTTTCTGGCACTCCAATGAAGCGTTAGCCGACTTTACCCTCGTATATGCTGCACTATTTCTGACTTCTGAAATATATAAAACAAAGAAGTGACACTCGAAAAAATAATAAAAGTTAGCAATCATGAAGTCAAACAGAGACGGTTTCGTTAAAACCTTTTCAGAAGATTCCAGATTTCACGACTTCGGAACTTTAGGAACATATTTACCCCAATCATACTTGTGGAAGGAGCACAAGAATTTAAGGACATATTGCCACTACGCAATCGACATCAGATTTGTACGAACTTCAAATCTGCCGACCACTAACTAAAACGCGGCTATGTGACAAATGATCAAATAATATCATTAATTATAAGCAAAAGATACCTATCTTTTGCTTATAATTTCTAAATTCTCTTTTAAAAATAAGTAAAATTAGTTAACGTGTTCGACTTGTTGGAACTTACCCTAACAAAATATCATTAAACAATTTCAATATTCTAAAACTGGGTTAAGATTTTTTATGATTTAGTTAGCGGACGACAGAAAAGGCGGTTTCCCACGGCCCGTTTCACGGCCCGGGTCGCGCGTGTCTCGAAAACGCGCCGGGGAAAGAGGGCCGCCCGAGCGGTTCCGCCGTTAGTCGGTATCTTCAAACATACAGCAAGAAATCCCGAACGGCCTATACTCTCGAAAATCCGAATACATACCGTCACGCACCAAAAGACGGACCGTTAGTAAGTGGAGAAGCGCCCTGGTGATTATAAGCCACTTTAGCGATAACACCCGTGCGTGCGTAAGCTCTAGTTTACTTTAAACATTTGAATATCATAAAAGCATCATTATAATTATCTTTTTTTACACATACCATTGGCAGAGCTGTATGGATTCTTTTCAAACGAATTACATTTTCTAGTAGGACTAAAATATGTCTCTTTAGATTGTGCAGGTGACAAGAGAGGCTTTTTTTCTGTAATGACTTGCACAGGAAAACCTAGAGTTAAAAATTAAAATTAATGTAAGTTAGCCGTAACCATTGAAACTGTAAAGGGGCCGAAACGTTGGTTTGTTTGAAAAATAACCTAACCTCC